TACTATGACATTATATTAATAAAAAAAAAAAAAAAAAAAAAAAAAAAAAAAAAAAAAAAAATTTTGATTTTATTTTTAAATTAATTAATGTTTATCATTCAATAAATCATTGCATGTAACCCACAAGATATTAGATATGTAATAGCAATCTATAAATTCAAATATATTTTAATTTTAATTCTAAAGTATAAGGCCTAAGAATTAAGGCTCCAGCCTACAAAACATCGCCATTTTTCTAGTTATAATTATTTATTAAAATAATTTCAACATACCTTAGGCCCAGTGAATATTTAAATCAAGTATTTAGTAAGTATTTAACAAGTACTTTATAAGTACTTGGTTATACTTTGTGATGAAATGAATTTGTGTGTTGGAGATATTTTAAAAACTCGGATTTATTTTCAGCTGTTGCTAAACAAGCTATTCAACTTGTATTTTTTTTTTTATCAATCAACTTTTTTTTTTTAGAATATCTTTATTTATTTTTTTTTTGGTTTTAAAGATGAGACCTTGCTCATATCTTTATTAAGTAATTTATATAAGTAATTATATAGAAATAATTATGTAAAAACCCAATTTATCTGTTATATACACGTTTTTGCTTACGCGCCGATCTACGTCAATTATACTTTACTGCAAAACGTCAATTATACTTTACTGCAAAACGTCAATTATACTTTATTGTAAAATATCGCTTATATACCCAACTGCCCGGGATATAACTATTACCTATTCTTTATATATCCTTAAATTTTATTTTCTTGCTTGTGAAGTGTTACATTTTTTGGAAAAGGTACTTCAAACTATATAAATTCAATTAAATAAATTGACCAAACAGAAGAAAATATCCCATCTAGTTTATAATAATATTTAATAGTGTTGAAGTTACAGTATTACGCGTATTTGTATTATATAAGCTAAGAATTATTTTGCCAGCCTAAGAAAAATCGCCCAACATAATTTACGTTCCTTTTAGAATAACATTCGTCAAAACATATCCACATTTATTAAAATATTCGGGGATCACTCAACGGATTTTTCAACAGATTCAAGTTATGAGGTTCAAGTTTACACCGATGTAGATTTACGTTTTAATTTACGAATAATATTTTAATTTCGAAGCAATATAAATCGGAAAAATAACGCGAAGCATATAAACTTCACATTGAAATTAAAAGAATACAGTGATTCAATCGAAATTTTTGTCGGCTAAGACAAGGTTAAAAAACGCCAAGTCAAATCGATGTTTTAATAATAAATTGTCATCTACTATTATACAACTAAAGATTAAGTTACAATGCTGTAATGGTTTGATAAATATTATTGGCATGCATTAAAATATATATCTATTACTAATAATCTTCTATCGTATTATAATTGTACAATAAATAATTATATATTATAATTATTAAAAATAATGTCAATATAATAAAATTTCACACAGGAGGAAAAACAGCTCGCAGAATGTCCGCAATAACATCTCCTGGTGTTGCATTGGTTCGCATTTTTTTTAATAAAGTCTTCAAACTTGTCCCATACATTATACTTCTATCATCACCTGGTTCTCGTAATATTATTCGATGTGAGAATACTTTCTCACTTGCAAATATCACTAGCTCTGGTGTAACATAGTTACGTTGAAACACAGCAGCCAATGCCCTAAAAAAATTATAATAAATTTACTAATGTACTTATTTACCCTTTTAATCGACGAATAGATGAAAAACTTACTTTACAAGTGTTACCAAGTCAGTTGAAGCTCGAGATGTTATTCCTCTTTTGACAACTCTATGTGTACGTAGTCCAACAACAATATCTCGCATATATCGCTGCATATCAGTATGAACTGAAACATTGTCCATATCTTTTGATAATTTTTCAATTTCCTAGATAATCCATATGTGCGTTTTTTAATATGTCAAGGTATTATTAAATAATATAGTGGATTCCTTATAAAAAAGGTAAATACCATTTCACGAATCATTGGATTCTTTCGATTAACAATTGGAGATTTTCCAAATCCTATTATTCCTTCGTACATATAGCTTAAGAAAAATCTGTCGATCTTTCAATGTAACGAAAGAAACTGATTCAGTTAATTGTTTTTTATAAAAAAATAATCAAAAACAAAAATGTTTAGATAATATAAAAATATAATACCAATTGATTAGGTAAGCTATGTCTTGGGTAAGATTCCGGTAATAAAGCTACAATAAGAAATGGTTTTGGTAAATAGAAAGTGGTTGATTTATCGTTTACTTCTTTATTAGCCAGAATCTATAAGTTAAAGCGATCAATACTCAATCCGAAAATTCGTAGTAAATTTATAATAATAAGATTACCTCCAATAAAAATGCAAATATGATTTCATTCGCATAAGATAAACTCTCAATTATCACTGCCTGAGCCAATTTTCGAGATGCAGAGTTATGAGGAGAATAAGATTCAAACCCACCAGTGCCTATACTCCCATGCGTTCTCTTGGAAGAAGAAAAATCAATTGGAGTATTAGGGGAATGAGAATAAGAGTTTAAGTGGGAATAATTAGGAGATTGAGAATAAGAGTTTAAGTGAGAATAATTTGAAGAATATGTATTCTTTCGTGGAGAACCAGTATATACATTAAGATTTGGACGAGATGGGGTAGAAGGCCTTTCTGGAATGTCAATAGGTTGAGAAGATGTTGATGTGAGAAAAGTATTTCTCCTACGTGCCTGAGAATTCTGTGCAGCAGAAGAAATAAAATTTGTTTCTTTAGGACTATCAAGTGTTCGAGAACGTTCTTGTTTCTATCCCATTGAAATATTGAAATATTCGTAGTAAATAAGTAAGTATATCTCATGATAATGGTGTGGAAAAAAAAAAAACACCCATATGTTTAAAATGTTTAAAATGTTTAAAATATTTAAAATATTTAAAATATATTTAACAAATTTATACACACTACCCCATACCTTTCGTGGGCCATATTCACCAGCTTCATTTATTGATATTTCATCGTCAATATTATTACTAGCAAAAATTGGAGATTCATCACTAAAACTAGAATCTATAGATGGATCTTTGTTGTTTAGATTACTAGGACTATAAGATAAATTAGAATGTCGATTCATTCCTTTAAATTCTTGCGAAGGCCTTTTCTCATTTGAATTTGTCGAACTTGTTGTCATTAATGATCTGTAAGACTTTTGTTGCTTTAATCGATTAAGTGAATCCTCAGCACTATTTTGAATTGAATTACCAATATGATTATTATTTGAAGAATGAGAATTTTCGTCTTTTGGTCGGCTAAAAAGATTTGCAATAAAGTCAGCAGGAGTTTGCGAAGCATCGCAAGTGACAGTTGCACAAGTCAAGCCGAAAACATTATGAAAGATCTCGAGTCAAACAATAATAATAATAATTAAGGACTTATTAATGGTATAATAAAAAAAATCTATACTAAACAAAAGATTAAACAAAATACCTGTTCAATCATAGTTTTTAATTCTTCCGTATGTTCTTGTTTGCAAGTCAAAATTAAGTGCTTGTCTCTTGACATGAGACAAACCAGTATAGATATTAAAATGTCATCAGAAAACTGTAAACCGGTTCTTTTAATAGCTTGAAGCTTTGCCTTGAGCCAACTTCTTGTTTGTGATGTCTCTGAAAGCATCGTTACGGTCGTTTCAATGCTGAAAATTGCGAATTTTGGAATTTTAAAATTTCAAAAGACCTGATTGGTTACATTGGTTACTTACGTACAGTACATCAGTATCTGGTATCAGGTATTACATAAGCCAATACCGATACTGCAATGGTTAAAGTCACACACATAAAAACAATGGCAGCCCACGGGGTTATAAATGCAATATTACGTAAAGTATAAAATGAATCTTTATTACTTATACAGTATTAGAAAAATCAACAGAATCCAAATAAATAAGTTTAAAAGGCTTTTCAATAATCGATTATTCCAAAAAAAAAAAAAATCGATTACCAATTGCATAAAACTAGTACTGGAGCTTGGCATCTTTAATTTTGATTCATAAAACTTTTCCTTTTGGTTCATATCGGCGGATTTTCGGAATTGGGTTTTCATGGGTTTGTAAAACGAACCCGTATGTATATAAAATAACTTAAGGTGTAATTAACTGTTAACAATAACAATACAAAATTAAAATTATTTTGTAGCGCTATTGTTAATTACTCCTTAAATTATTTTTATATACATACGGGTTCGTTTTACAAACCCATGTAAACCCAATTCCGAAAATCCGCCAATATGTTATCGCAACAACCATATTTGGCTAATATTGGTAAAATGGTAAAATAATTATTTATAACTAGCAATGTTAGATGTGCGGGTGACTTCGTCACCCGCTCGTGTTTTTCAGGTTGAATTGTTACCTGATTAATATTTTTTAATTGATAGTATTAAGTAATAATTTTAATTATAGCTATTTTCATAGCTTCTGGAACACCTGATAGAGATTGGCCGAATGATTTTTCAGCCGATTCGATTAAGTTTGTAATTTCGGCACAATCCATATAATAATTCTGTATAATAATTGTTTTACTGGTCGTTGTAAGGGGACGTCCATAATTTACGTTTAACCAGCATTGTTATAGGGATCTTAAAGATAATACAAAAAGGAGTTATTTTCAAGGTCTCTATTTTTATACAATACTGTGCTGATTTAACGTAAATTATGGATGTTCCCTAACAATAATGTTAACATTATTAAGTTTTTGTTCGAATGCTTATCTAACATATTTAGTGTGTCAATAATTCTTAACAAGAAATATAAAAAAGACACTATATATATATTAATTAGATTTTTATAATAAACATATTTGGGGGTTTCAAAGTTAAATTCAGAGATTCTTATTTTTATTTTTCCAATTTATAATTCGATATAGTAAAAATGCTATTGACAAAATTCTATTTATTTTCAAAATGCATCATTTATTTATTAACTTTGAAACCCCAATTGTATGAATTTGAGTAAATGTCAAAAGATCCTGGACAATTTGGTTAAAATTGGACTTCCAAGTTGGGCAGATTCTTATCTGGATTATAATATATATATTATATGAGTAGATGAACAAAGATATATAAATGGTGGGTTTACTACAAAAATTCCAAAAAACAGATCCCCAAAAGAACTTGATACCAACAAAGTTAGCTGGCATTAGTTACAATCATGGCAAATTTAGTCAGTATTATGTTCTTTTGTGAAAATGGTTTTTATGATTTTTTGGTAAACCTGTAAATGTTGCACTGGACAGGTGGCAGAGCTTATGGCAAACAATAAATTTAAAGAAATCTGATTAATTTATTTTAGTTCTTTTGAAACATTTTTTGATAATTAACAATTATCAAACTATCACACCAGCAAAAATTCAGAAGGAAAAAAAACACAAAAACATTAAAAAAACTTGAAAAGTAAGTTTTTAATGAATCAAAGACTTTTTTTTCTGTTATTAACATAGTATCATATATTAAATTATTTATGAAGCTCCAAAACATGTAATAAAAATAGCAAATGAAAAATTTTCCTTTTTAGATTTAGAGAAAATTTTGGTTACCAATCTTATGTACAAATAAGTTACAAAGTACAAAAACAGCAAACACAACATATATATATATATAGAAAAACAGTTATACTGTAAAAGCAAATTAGGTAAAAAAAGACCTGCTAAGATTATAGATCTTTAATAATAAGATTTGTAATTTATCACCACTAGTTATCACCAGTATTGCTATATCTCAAAAATGTATTAAGTAAATAAGATTAGGTACTCTAAGTAAAAATATTCAAAACCCCTAAAAACCTTACAAAAATAAATTTGAAATCTTATATTAGCACTATATTATATTATATAAAAAAAAATAATTTTTTAATTTCTAACCCTGATTTTAAGATTGATAATAATTACTACTAGTGATATGTAGTAATTTTCTATAATAAATATGAAAATTAATATTTTTACACCAATTTCTGATAGTGCCACACTCTTACTAATCATTCTAATTTTTTTGATTTTTTTTAAAAACTCTAATTGAAGATATCTCAATATATATCCAATTAAATTTATTGAACTTTTTTTTTATTTTAATTTAGAAATCTGTAGAATTTAAAGAAAAAAAGTGTATAGAATTTGATCTAGTAAATAGCAAGATATTTTTAATCAAAGTTTCACAACAATTCACAATATAGCTTCTACTTAATAGATATTCAAAATTTACAGAATCTTTAATCAAGAATATCTTGACAATTACCTAACTAAATTCAACAATTTTTTTTATTTTAATTGTAGAAATTTGTAGAATTCAAAAAAAACAAAGTTTACTGAATTTATCAAGTAGATATTAAGATATCTTCAATTAAAGTTTTATAACTTGCAATGTGGCTTCTATTTGATAAATATTAAATTTACAATACTTTGATCAAGGATATTTTGAAAACCACCTGTTCGAATTTAATAAGCTTTTTTTTATTTTAATTATAAAAATTAGTAAAGCCAAAAAAAAGTTTGTCAAGTGTAATTAGATAAATATCAAGATATCTTTAATCAAAATTTGAAAAAATTGTAAAAATTAGAATAATCAGTAGAGTGTAGCATTATTAAAAAAGAGGTACAAAAATATTAATTTCCTAATATATATATATATATATAATAGAAAGTGTTTGCTTTTTATATATTGATTTTGTTTTTTATTTGCTATAAAGTTTCTAGTACAAAGAGTAATATAATAATTTGTTAGTATCAACTATAACCTTATTAAAGATCTAAATTATAAAAAATAATAAATAAGATAAGAATTACTCTATCAATGCTAAATTTTAAATAGTTTAGTAAATTCATTGAAAGAAGTATTTGAAAATAGCCTAAGGATATTCTTAAACATTTTACTCAATAGATAAAAGGTGAATTTTAATTAGCTAGAAAATGATAAATTAATCTGAGTTACTATTCAATAAACAATCAGCAAAAAGATATAATATATTTTTTTCTTCAAAAAAAATTACTATTAATATAAGTTACTTAAGTATTAGAAGAGTAACAAAAATTAAGTGATTTTTTAGAGGGGAGAGGGGTAAAAAAAGTTAAAATTATATATGAAAACCTGATTAAATATATAATAAGAAGGGGGGAGGGGGTATGCTTCTGATAAAAAAAAATTAGATGATAAATGACACTACTCGTATTGTATAACAAATATAAAAATAATGAATTCTTAACAAATTTCTAATAGTTTAAAAAAAAAATAGCTACTTTATCTTTAATATTTAAAACAAATTAAAACTATTTTTATATTATCTATACTACTTTCAATATCTATAAACAAAAATTTAAAATTTAAATAAATATTATAGAGTTAATAAATTTGTAACTATATCCAATAAAGCCAATTAAATTTTAAAATCAAGTATAATATAAAATCAAACCAAAAACTATTTTTTTAAAAAAATTATTAATAACTCAAAAATTTGATTATGAAACTATCTTTTACATTTTAACAGAAAAAATTTCTTGCTAAATTTTAATATAAACTATATCTTGCTTCAACTATAATATTACTTTAACTCTAACCTTTAACTGCAAGGGCTTATTTTATAAAAAAATATTGTTTTGATATTCACATTATATCTGATTTTAGTTATAGCTATAAAAAATTTATTGTAATCTATGGTTACAAATTAATTAATCTAATATTATATTATTAACAAAAAAAGATTACTTTTTTTTTTGTAAAATAACTTTCATTAACAATTTAATAAGTTGATTTTGTTGCTATTTTAACAAGAAAACTTAAATTAGTAAATTTATTAAAAGAAGAAACTAGTATAACAAAAGATGAAGCTTTGGCAGCTAGTTAAGTAGAATTTTTTTTTATTAGGCTTTTAGAAGGTATAGCAAAAATTATAAAAAAAGTAAGAGTACACTCAAGTATTTAATTCTATAAATATTAATTTTTTTTTAAAATAATTCTTTTTGTTGTTTAATACTAATATTTTGCTTTTTTGAATTATATCACTTTCAAGTTGTTTTTAGTCAAAAATATACTTAAAATAACTAGTAGTAATTATTACTACTTTTAATTATTTTTAAAATTAGAGTAGAGGTTTAAAATTTTTTTTTTTTAATATATAATATAATATAGAACTAATATAGGGTTTTAGTTTAGTTTTTGTAAGATTTTTAGAAGTTCTGAACATTTTTACTTAG